AATAAATAAATAAATCTTTAAAAAAAATCCTATCACTCAGAGAACTATTAACATTTTGATGTGCACCTTTTCATATGTTTTTTCTAGGTACACAGAGAGTGTGGTCATGATATTTTGTAAAATTTCAAAAATTAAATTTAACATATCATGGTCATCTTCCTTTCTGAAAATACTGATCTTATTATTTTCAAATAATCTTGCGTGATTGAACTATAGTTTACTTTGTCAATTTTCTATTGATGACAATCATTTACGGATGTCCTGGTTTTCAGTATTACAAATAACACTGTGATGAACTTATTTGTATATGCATCTTAGTACACTTTTCTGCCCCTTAGGGTATATTCACAGAAATAAAGTTGCTGGGTAAAGGGTATGTATATTAAGAAAATGAACACATACTGCCAAATTACCTCTGAAGAGACCGATCCTAACTACCATTAGGATGAGAGATTGTTGTTCCACTCACAAACACTAGAGATGAGTTATCTTAAAATGTCACCAATCTGTTAGGCAAAAATGACATTTATTGCTGTTTATTACTTTGATTACTTGACAGGAAAGCATCGGTCAATTCTTAGAGAAAATTTCACTTTAGTCATAGAAGCCACTATGATTCAACACTATGTTAGAGAAGTAACCTGAATCTGAGGATGGTTTCTGTAATACTCAGCTTAATTTTTTTTAAAAACACATGTTCTTGACAACTATATAGTCAACTTACTGGATGTTTTGATTTTCATTTCCCCTTTCAGTCCCACAGATCCAAGACAAATTTGAGAAGAATTTGGAATTAAAGAAATTATTCACGGCGGGGGAAAAAACAAACAGGCAAACTATAAATCAGAGACTTTCAGCAGAGGAGGGGGAGGGAGAAATATCAAAACAGGGGAGGGAAGAGTATAAGGGATTATGGTGATGGCACACGGGTGACTTGGTGGTGGGAATTTTATGGGGACTACACCTGAGAGGAGAAATCAAACACAAAATGTTCATCAAAAATGAACAATGATGTAAAATATATATATATATAAATAAATATATTTACAAAATAATTTCTCCATATAAACAAAAGAAAAGAAATTACCCCTGACCTTTAGATCCCCCCTAAGCTCAGTGTGAAAGGACATGAAACAATTCTAATACTTCAGGGTGGTGCCACTGTCATCCTCTTTGCATCCTCAAATATCCGACTTGAAAATGTCCTACTTCCCCTCACCACCGCCCCTTTATTCATCCAGCCATAACTTTATCCCCCTTTTTCCTTCCTTTGTTTTAATTTTATAACAACTGGCTCTTAGTTGTTATACCTTCAAAGCAGGACCAGACCTGCACTTGATGTTATTCATTAGAAAACTTAAGAGGCAGATTGGTGGGAATTGTCAGAGCCGGCATGTGAGAGACAGAGGACACAATGATGTGCCTGATGCGGCTTTAATGAGTAGAATCTGACCTAGGAGATCATTGTTATTTAGGATACTCAACTAAAGCTTTCCACTGATAGAATGGAAAAGCTGTGTATCAGGACCATTCCATAAATGGAATTTCATATTCTAATGTTACTTTCAGAAATTGTTAAGTTTCCCAGAATCTAGTAAGTGATGAGGTCAGGATTCACATCCAAGTCACTTGTATGAGAAAACTCATGGTTTTCATTACATCATGTCCTCAATAATATCTATTTGTGATGGTTTAAATAGAGAGGAAATCACAGAAATGGCAGAGCCAGAGTTCCCACATTTGGTCACTCCCTCAACTTTATTCCAGTTCCCCTAGTTCTCAGTCCCCTCCCAAAAAAATAAACATTTTTTAATTAAAGGGTTGACCAGTTTAGTTAAGGCCAACTTCATAGGTTTATAGTAGCACTAAATCAGAATAGTCGAATAACTAACCAGACAGACACAAAGCTCACTCATGTATGTAATCAAACCAATTTCAATAAAGTCTTTAGGAACAGGAGGAAGAACAGGGATTTTCCAAACAGCACACACAATTCTGTCCTAAGGACTCTGGGAAGAACAGTTGATTGTACGTTAGATTACTTATAAATGAGATGACTCATTACCTGGTGTCAGAGATGTTAATCCTGACATTTTTTACTTAAGAATTATTTGGGTCAGAAGTAAGTCAATGTCTCTCTGAATATTAACAATCTTTTGGACTGGTGAACAGAGTGATGTCACACTTACTAGCAGTTGAAAAACAATTGAACTAAGAACATTTTACCTTCTGCACCATCTTTGAGAATGTGATTCCTGATCTATAATATTTTATTTTATTTTTTTAAAGATTTATTTATTTATACAAGCACTGGGTACAGTCAGAAGCGCGGGAGGGTGAGAGAATTCACCAGAGACAGAGCAGGGAACAGAACAGGCAGGCTGACGAAGAAATACACTGCTGAGGGGAGCAGCGGGCGGCAGGAGAGGTCTGAGTGCCATGTGGGACCCTCACAGGTAGCCGGGGATCAAACCAGCGCTGCAGAGGCTGTGGCAGCTTCGCAGCCCAGTGCTCAACCGCTGAGCCACCAGAGAAGGCCCTGATCTATAATATTTTAAACATTACTTTTTTCACCCTTTGTATCTGCTCTTAGATAACAGAAATGAGGAAACCTGGTACATTCTTGCTTACTATTGGACACCAATGAGATACACACTTTTTCTATGGATTGAACTCCAAAGGATGCTACTTTACTGTGGAAGACCCTCAGCTAACTAAGCATTTACTAGATGCTAGGAACTTTTAAAAGTTTAAGATTATTAAACCTCATTATTCAACAAGAAAGTAAATCTAGTGCTTTCTTATTTACTACTTTTCATTATAAGCTTTTTACTGAGTAAAGATGAAGATAAACCTACTATGACTGCAATGTGATTCTCTAATTACTATTATATCAATCCTCAGAATAAAACTTTACAAATATCACTCATTTCATTCCCATAATAAAGCTATGAAGAGGGTAATATTACTAAACAGAAGCCAGGAGAATCTAATTTGCCTGAAGTCGTACAGAATTTCAACCAGAAGTCTGATTCTAGAGTCTGTTGTCTTAATTACCATGACAGGTATTCTGAGACAAAGAAGTCTGCTGGGAGGGGAGAAATTTTTCTCTCTTGGAAAATTGTCATCTGCATAGGATATCTGGAGATGCTACAGGCAATTTGTGACCATAATAGAAGTCACAGCTGAGTATGATGGAGTACATAGATGCAAGGCACTCAAGTTTTTTTTTGTTGTTGTTGTTGTTGTTGTTTTGGCACTCAAGTTTTTGAGTACATACTTGAGCAATTGAATTATCTCATCCTGGAGCTGCTTTACATCTGGAATTCCATTCACTTGAGATAATAGATCCTAACTTTAATTAGATCTTCTGTTGTGGTGAAAAGTGCTCTCCCTGATACACAGAAGTATAAATCCAACCAGAGATGTACAACCCTTTTAGAGATGGCAAATATTTGCCCCATGTGCAAGATTTTCAGTCAACAAATATTGAATGCCTTCCGTATATCAAATACAGTGCAAGTTGTTTAACTGATCAGTTCAGAAAGGCAGGTTTCCACATCCATGAAAGTTGTAATCTGGTGGTAAGGAAAGTGGAGGCAGGCATATTTATGAGCAATAATCTTGAGTGAGAGGTTAGAGAAGGCACTTAGAATCCAGTAAAAGTATACATACCAGATTTAAAGAATCAATTTAATTTCAGTTAGTATCATCCATTTGTAAGTTTATATTTAATTTAAATTTGTGTAAGAACAGGTTATATGTATAAAATGTGCAATAGTTCGGTGTCTACTTATTTAGGTAACTTTATAATGAGATAATTTAAATCAATATATTGAAGATCAGAATTTTTTTTTCCTGTTAAGGAGAAACACTAAAGCCGATTTACAAGAAACACTAATATAAAATATAAAGCAAAGGAATGGAAACCAAGGCATTCAGTATCTACTCCTAGCTTCAAAGCTGGTGTAGTCTTCCGTGACCTTACATAAGGAGTTCCAATGGAATATTTCAGAGTTCTTAAGCTAATAAGGGATAAATTAAAAAAATAAAAGTGCTGCTATGAAAGTTCCAGAAATTATTCACAAAGAAAATGGGCAAAAGGAAGGGATTGGGCACAGGACATGACACACACGAAAAGAAGGCAGTGAAGTAAAGAAGTAAAGGGCAGTAAGTGCCTGGTAAACTCTCCACAGCAGGAAACAGCGCCGCGCATATTATAGCTGCTACAGAATAAATACTTGCTAGTTTCCAGAGATGACCAAACAAATATTATGAAGGAAGTGACTTGGAAACTACCATGCGGCGTCAACAGTTACCACTCCAGGTCAATCCTATTTCATCTTTTTCTCACACTGCATTGTTCTGAAGCAAATTCCACGCACATCTTTTCCCTCTAGATAGTCGGCACAAACCTGTAAAGCAACCGAATGGGAGCCACGCTCTTTGGTGCCCGTGCCCAGCTCACTGCGCGGCAGCGCGCTCTCCCTTCATTCCTTCGTTTGTGATACAGGATTTGTCAGGGGGCGCAACAGAATTTTCAAAAGACGGTAACCACAATAAAAGGAAGTAAATCCTCCTAAGACTCTCCTGGAGCAAAGCCCATCCTCTTAACCCAGGCCCGCAACTCAAGCCCCAGGAAGCCCAAACGGTGCCCGGGTGCGTCCCCTTGCCAGGACGGGTTCCCCGGCCGCAGGCCGAGGCCGGGCCTTCAGGGCCGGTGCCCGCGCTCGCCGCGCCTCTCGCGAGAGTCCGCCTACCGGGCCCCCGCAGCCGCGGCGTTTCTCCGCCGCCTCACGTAGGGAGCGGCGCGCAGCCCCGAACAAACCCGGCCTGGGCTCGGGGGCGCGCACGCCGTGCGTCCCCACTCGCTCGGGATTCTCGCCTGGCAACGCCGGGAAAGGCCGACAGTTTGGGCCGCCATGTTCTCCGCCGCGGCGCTCCGGGCTCGGGCGGCTGGCCTCACCGCCCAGTGGGTAAGGCGGCTCGGTATGACTCCGGGGCCTGCCACCGGCCTTCTCCCTCTCTCTGGGGCTCCGCTGGTTGTGGCTCACGAGGGCCCGGGGTTCGGGACTGGCCTTCAGAAGGTAGCAAGGACACTGCGGCCTTCGCCTCCTCCCCCGGGAGGCCGCGGTAGCTCCAGGTAGACGGTGCCCGAGGGAGGGTCGGCAGGTTAACTGCGGTCGGTGCGTGGGCTCCTCCCGGGACTGGGGATGTTACGCCTAATCTGGGCGAGGGGAGGTCTGGTTTTCGCTGTTTGGTTCTAGCGCGGAACTAGCCTGTGCGGGTTTGGCCAAGTCTGTTTCTAAGCCCTGGGTTCCCGACCCAGGCAGCTTGCTTGTTAAGCTTCGTGACCTTGTTGCTCTCAGGTTGCAGTGTACTGGGGAGGAATCTGGAATTGTAGGCTCTAACTTGCCTGGTGAAAGCTACCGAGCGTTTTCTTGGGTCAAAAGAAGGGTGACCTGCGTTTCGTTTACTGCAGTTGTGTTTTGCATATCGGAAAAAAAAATTTTAATCAAATTAACTCTGCAAGAATAGCACCACAAAAACTGCTCCTGCACAGGTATGGAAGGATTTTAGAATGGCTTCGAGATCTAAGTACATCTCACTGTAGGCAAGGAGATTGAATTTCAGAGAGATTCAAACACTTGTTCAAGTTAATTTTAACATGCAGATTCCAGAAATGACATCAGAACAAGCAACAGGGCATTCATTGCAAAGAAATTATATTTGCCCCCCCTTGTCCCTCCTTTGTCTCCCCCCCAACCTCCCCGTAGTGAAAATGGAAAGGTTCAGTCAGTATCATCAGAAGAAGGGGGGGATAGGGCATAGTAGGATAAAATGAGTTCAGGGCTGTAGAGTTAGACCTGAGTTTGGATGGTGGCTTTATCAATTTTTCTAGCTTTGTGACCGTGGTATGTTATTTTTCTCATATATGGAAATTTTAGAGTTTGCAAAGTTTATTCTTTCAGTAAACATTTGAGATCTTGCTGTGGGCCATTCACTGCTAGACTCCAGGTAACAATGTGGATAATAATAATGATAGTTAACAGTTGTGACTATATGTACCATGCATTGTGTGAAATATTTATATTCTGAATCTCATTTATCAGGTTGTTGCTATTATTTCCCTCTCTTACAGATAACAGTTTTAGACAGACCTTGTTCTTTTGGACTTGATAGTCTCATGTAAGAGAAACTTTAAGGTAAATATGATACAATGTGTAAGTGCAGTGTTAGAAATAACATTGTACGGTCATCCAATTTGGTTTGAAGGTTTTGTTTTTTTTTTTACTCCTGGAGAAGTTAGTAACAGATTGGGAGTTAGGTCGGATGGAGAGGGGAGAGGGTGTCCTAGGTGGAATGAACAATTTAAGAAAAGTTTGCAAGATAAAGCTTTGGTGTTTATGAGAAGCCTCAGGCAATGGTTTTGGTCTGTATTATTGGAGGTAAGGTAAATTCAAAAATGAAATAAGAGAGATGGGTAAAAGACTAGATTTTACAGATTCTTTCATACCATGCTAAAGAATTTAAATTTTTCTTAGAGGCAGCAAGGGGTTACTGAAGGGATTTAGAGGAGCAGAGAAATGTCACATTTTTGTATTGGATGGATCACAGGGTGAGACTGTTTGGAGCCAAAAGCTAGACAAATAAGATTGAGGCAGGGTAGAAAGGGTAGAAGTAGTGCGTACAGATAGTTTTTTTTTTCTCTTTTGTTTTTGAGGCAAGGTATTAAAAGTGTAAATTGAAGGGCAGTTTTAACAGTGAAAAGGAACAATAACTTCAGGTAGTGGAAGAAAATTTTAATCAAATTTTATGATAGTTTTGGTAATTTGTTTTTTTCCTGTTTATTTCTCTGTATATATTTTTACATCATTATTCATTTTTGTCTAGTTTGCTTTCTCCTCTAAGGTGTAGTCCCCATAAAATCCCCATCAAGTCACCCATGAACCATTACCATAGTCCCTGTGCTCTTCTGCCCCTGTTGTAATACCTTTCGTTCCCCTCCCCTTTTGTTTGTTTCTTTTTTTATATAAATACCATGTGGTATGTCGTATGTGCTCACTAAGTATTTGTTGAGTTGCTGAATACGTTTAACTTTTTATGTACAGGTACTACATTGTTGGAAAAGCATACTTTAGAGGACAGCAAATAAGCTAAAAAAAAAGTCACCTGTAGTCTGATCAACCTGGAAATTACCAAAAATGATGACATTTCGATATCTGCAATTAACCTTACAGAATTCTGTTTACTTTATAAAAATCAGATGGTATTTTTTGCACTGTTTAGTAGATTGTTTTTTTCCCCATGTAACACATTTGGATTATCTTCCTTTGTCAGAAAACATTTCAACAACTCTCATTTTAAGTGTTGCTTAGCATTCCATTGTAAGAATGTTCTCTAACATAAGCAGGCTCTTCTTTAATCTTTGACAAATAGTGAGGATAACAGAATGAGCCAGCAAAAATCAGGACAAGTCTGAGTGATGAGGTCCTACTAAAGTTCTTTTCCTAAAAGAGAAACCAATTTACATTTTCAAATAAATTGCTTATTTTGTTATAATTTCTGCTTTATTAGGTAGCAGTTTCTGCAACCACAGGCTGGTTTTTTCTTCCCCCCAGCTCCTCTTTGCTTAAAAAAAAAAAAAATCATCCAGGGCTTCCCTGGTGGCTCAAGGGGTTAAGACGCAACCTTGTGAAGCAATTGGCAGCCTCTGCAGCATGAGTTTGATTCCCCTGCCAGCCAGGGAGCAACCCATATGGTGCAGCAGACCTCTCCTGACTCGCCCACTGCTCCCCTCACCAGTGTACTTCGGTCAACCTGCCTGTTCTGTTGTCTCTGTCTCTGTCTCTGGTGAATCCTCTCACCTCCCAGGCCTCTGGCCTGTATGCCAGCTCTTGTATGCATAAATAAATAAATCTTTAAAAAAAAATCCATAACTTAGTACTATCTCTAGAAGTACCTGGAAATAACTAGTTTAGTGACTTTTCTGTCTTTGTGCCTCATTTTACTTGTCTTTGAAGTGATTGTTAAAAATTGCCCAAAAAATGTGATTTATGGAAAATTAGATACTCAGAATAGGCTTAGTCCTTTCTTTCCTTCATTAATTGCCCTTGACTTTTTGTTACCACTTTACAATTCATCATGCCTTGCTCTCAAGCTTCTACTTAGTTTAGTCGTGAGAGGGTTGTGGTGGCATTTTCAAAGAGTGTATTTTCATGTTTTTTTCTTAGTTATTTTTTTTTTTATCCATTCATGGCATTATTATCCTTTATGTCCTTAAACATGGCTGTAACTGCTTTGAAACGGTTGTTTGGTAATCTCCAATGACTGCCTTTTCCCCTGAAAATAGCTTGTGTTTCCCTTTTTTATTTTTTGCATGTTAAATAATTTTGGATTGTACGTTGAACATTGTGAAGAATATGTTGTAGAGATTCTAGATTTTGTTAATTCTTCCAAAGGGTGTGTTGTTGCACACAGTTAATGGAGTTTAAACTGCAATCCAGTTGCCTTTTGGCAGAAGCTCGCATATTGGTTTAGTTATTTTAGCTAAGGTGCTTGGAGTCTGCCCCATGTGCATGCATGGTTTGAAGTCAGTCACAGAATGTGGGGCTTCTCCTCTCTAACTCTTCCTTTCCTGGGATTTCTCTCTTTACTCTCCCATGTCCTGACACCCAGAATAATCTCCCTTTTAAGTCCAACTTATTAGCTACCTTTTATCTGTCATTAATTCCCTGTTGGTATATACACATTCACAGCTTTCCAGGATTAGCATGTAAGTATTTTGGAGGGTGCCATTGTTCTGCCCCTCACAGCCATCAGGAGTTTAGAAGAAAGTGAACTAACTTTCAGGTCTATTCAGTGAGGTTCTGTAGACCACTTTTTCGTACTACAGATTCAGATCTTCATTTTAGAGATGGGAGCTTATCCTCCATTTCCACGATGAAAGTACTTGAAGCACCCTTTTCTTTGGGCACTATTTAGTACCAGACCAGTACACTGAATAAAAAGTTATAGGTTCATTCACCATTACCAGTCAGGTTTGCCACTGGGAAAACTTGACTAACCACTTTTAAGTCAAGGTCAGGTAGCACATTATAAATGAACTGTAGGACATTTCTTTCATCAAGGATTAAGACTTAACTATGTTTAAATGCATTTTCCTTTTTGCCTTGTTGGGAAAGTGACTTTATGTGTGGGATACTTTGCTGGGTGCTATCTCATTTTGTAAGTGAGACAGCTGAAGAGTCACTGTTACATGCTGAAGATTAAGTAGACCTGGGCTTGTTTACAAGTTGCTGTGGTTTTTGTTTTGGGTTTTGTGTGTTTGTTTTTGACCTATCTTTCTGAAGTTGCACGGGTTTATTGAAGGAAATTGATATGTATGGTGAAAATTTAATAGATACTATTGAAGAAGGATTTGACATTGTGAGGAGAGTACTAGGGAAATGATTTCACTTAGCTTAGGCAAAACTAGAGACTGGTTTAGAGATTGGTAAGAGAAAGTTAAATTCAGACATGATGGATGAGAGGGAGGTGAGAGTGAGTGTTGAGACTGATAGTTACATGTACAAGGACAGTGAAGTTTGAAAGTGGCAGGGTGGAGAACAAATAACTGGTATGGAAGATGAGGTTGGAGAAGTTCACAAATGCCTTGGTATGTCACCACAAAGTTTAGGTTTATTTTGTAGGTGGTGAACAATTTTAAGTAGGTGAGGAGCATAATCAAATTGATTCCCACACTACCTCTTCTCCCCTCCTGTCTTTGTAATTTTAGGGCAGAATCTTTAGAGATGTGGAAAAGGGTGAGAATGGAAGGCAGGGAAAAGCGCTACTGCAGCAATCTGGGAGAGAAATGAGAAGAGTTTGAACTGGGAATAATCACAGTGTAGCAGGAAAAGCAATTTAAAAGTTGTTTAGGGAGAATGGGACTTGGTGGCTGACTAAATTAGTAGGTGAGAGAACCCTGCAATGCTTTTCTTACCTTGATTTAAATGTCATTATCTTGAGTGACCATCTAATGTTGAATTACCATGGGATTGAAAGAACTATTTTGTTCGATCTATTTTAGAGGCATAATTTAAAAAGTTGTCAGAATACCAGATTGACACAAAGACAGGAAGCAAAATATAAGCACAAAATGACATTTCCCTCGATAAAGAAGTGTTAATAGGTTCCTTGGGGATCAGTTATAATACCAACCTCACTTGATTTCTGAAATGAGAGGTGTAGAAACTACCTATTCATAGAAGTACATGACAAATCTATGAATTCTTTCTGTAGAGTAGAACTGTTTGGGATTAAACTGCAGAATTATATAACTGGTGGTTTAGTGGGAAAAGTTTGATTTTTGTCAGGGTAGTAAAGGGGAAATTTGAAAAATTTCCTTATAAAATTCTGGGTTATGATTTGCAACCTATAGAAGAGATCTTGTCATTCTTTTTTTTTTTAATTTAATTTTTTACTTTATTTAAAAACAAAACACCCAATATCATGCATTAGCCCCCTCCTGTCCTTGTTCCTTTCTCCCACCACCTCATTTCTGCTGTCAATATTTATTCCTTTACTGTTTTGTTTGTTCATCTGCTTTACTTATCTTGCACATATAGGTGAAATTATCTAATATTTTTCTTTCTTCTGACTTGTTTCATTTTGCATAATCCTTTAAAGTCCTTCCATATTTCTACAAACAACAATTTTTAAAATAGCCGAATAGTATTCTGTCGTGTATCTATACCACATTATCTTTATCCAGTCATCTAACAGTGGACACTTAGGTTGTTTCCATATCTAAACTATTGTAAATAATGCTGCAGTAAGCGTTGTGGTGCACATAACTTTTCGTATTCTTGGATACATGCTCAAAAGTGATATTGCTGGATCATACAGTAATTCTGTTTGCAGTTTTTTGAGAATGCTACATGCTGTTTTCCAAAATGGTTGCACCAACTTACATTCCCACCAACTGTGTAAGGGTTCTTTTTTCTCCACACCCTCACCAACACTTGTTAGTGTATTTGATGTAAGCTATTCTCACATGTGTGAGATGATAGCTTACTGTGTTTTTGATCTCTATTTCCCTAATTGCATGTGATAATGAGCATTTTTTCATGTGCCTGTTGGCCATCTGTTTGTCCTGTTTGGAGAAGTTTCTATTCAGATCTTCTGCCTATTTTTTAAATTGGGTAGTTGTTTTGTTGTTGAG